GTCATTTTGTTTTTCGTTTGTTTTTTTTTAGCATAGTTATTCTATAATCTGAAAAGATCTAAAAACTGAAACAAAGCTAGTCCCAAGGGTTGCGGACCTGTAAAAATTTCTCAGCCAATTTTTGTGTTTGAATTTTAAAGAAAATTAAGCTTCTATTTTTGTTAAACTTGTCGGATTAGGGTTATAACGTTTGGTAATAATATGGGAAATGAAGTATGTCAAATCAGTCAGTCATTTCAAGCAGATAAATCGATAAATATGCAAAAAGTATTCAGATCTAAATTTATAATGGCGACTGCTGTTTCAGAATAACGAATCAAAGAAAAACTTCACAGAATAATTTGGCATTCATAATTATGTCATGATTTTATTGTTACTCTCACGACGTTTAGGCTGTTGTGCTTTCCGGCTTTCTTCAGGTATCTGTCGATCCGAGTAACCTTCAAGGAAATTCGAACCGAACTCTTCATTCAATATATTGTTCTCATTCTCGTTAATTGTCCTTTAAGTAGAACTCAGTTATTGCTTGTTCTGTTTCTGTTTCAACTGAATTCAGGTAATATCCGTACTACTCGAACCAAGCAATGAAATCACAATTACCATGTCACAACATTTCCTAATCCTCTAGGTCATTGTTTTGTTGGAAAAGTCTTGAAGCTAAAACTATCGCAAATATTCAAATTTCTCTGCTGCTACAGATGCAGCGTTGTTTTCAAGCTTGGCTCCTTCCACCGACATTTCAATTACATTTTTATTGCAGTTGCCATGTCCTAGTATTATGAGTTTCTGGTATTTCTGGCACATGATATTCATTATTTATTTATTTATTAACGGCTCTCATATGGTATTTATATCTATGTTAGGGCTGTCTTGTGCTGATTCCTTCAGACATTTGATTCTCCAGTCTTCTTTCTCTAGTACTTTACTTCATTCCATAGGAGTTGGTTAGCACCCTTTTTCCAGCCATACGTGATCAGCCATAATTGATTTAAAAGGCTCACAAGTTTTACGGTTTGTCGATACTCCCACAGACTTACTTTCGGAGGTTGACTGGTTTCAGCTTTGTATCATTTGTCACCAATTCAAAACCTAATGTACACAAAGTTCTTGATCGTGTTTTCAATCAGCATCTTTCTTCGAGAACAAATAAACAGATCGCCTAATCGAGGCCTGAAAGCCTGATTTAATTATTGTGAACAACGTAAAAATTAATGGGTTTCATTGTTCCAACAGACTACTGAGTAAACTTAAATTAAAGCCAACAACGGGAAAAGTATCTGGACATTGCCAAAGAACTGAAGAATTTTGGAATAAAAAGGTGTCACTTGTGTCACTCGTTGCTGTGGCGTTGGGAAACCTCGCGAAAAATCCGAGGAAGGTCAGAGACCATCATGACAACGCTACTACTAAACGTACTGAATACTGAGAAGAGTGCTGGTGTATTGAGGAGATTTGCTGTCATTTAATATTCAGTGCAAACCACCAGTTATTAATAAATCAATCAATTAATAATAATAATAATAATAATAATAATAATAATAATGTCATAACGAAAAACATTTTTCAAATTTTCGACCTTGGAAAAATTATCACAATCCAATCCAGATTTTAAATATGCCTGTGCCACGAATGGCAGGCATACCACAATCTAAACAAACTCAAACAAATGCACACACATGAAAGTGTGTGAGAGAGAGAGTATAAGAGCACGCTCATTTTTGTAATTTTTAATAGATGGAAGGGGATTTGGTTTCTTTTTAGTCATGTTAATGTGATAAAAATATTTCCGGAATTCAGCAGTCTAAAAAGCTGTATATTATCGCTTATCGAGAATTGTGCATCTATTTAAATTCGCATAGCCACAAAAAATGAGCGATAATTTAATTAATTTGCAATGTAACTAATTACAAATGCATTATCTGAACATTCGCATTTATATCGTCACATTGGATATTTCTGATGGCTAGTACATGAGCTCAATTGACAACAAACCTCCTAAAATTTCCTATACTCTTCACGTTATTCTTGCTGGTCACTTTCAGTTTTCTAATTCGTTTCGATTCTTCCTCGAATCTCTAAGCGCTTCGTATCCATTATTTTAACAACTCCCCAGTCAGGTCTTGATATTTATTGACAAGGCAAAAAAGCCCTTGCCGTTTTTTTTTATTTAATAGATAAAATTAACTGTATATAGTAATCCCTATTATCATCCAGAACCTTTTGACAACGTGCCTCCTGTTGCGTAATGCCCTGGCGGCAAAAATCAGGTGTCTTGGCTGTAAAAAAGTCGCAAGTCTGCCTCCTTTGCGAAGAATTTCCGACGAAGGTGCTTGTCCAGAAAATGAAAGAGGTGGTAATCTGTTGGCGCAAGATCCTGGGAGTAAGGTGGATGGCACAGTATCTCCCAGCCAAGTCGTCACAAGTGGCCACCCGCGCTACATGAGGCCTGGCATTGTCATGGAGGAACAGTACACTCTTTCAATTAATCAATGCTGGCTCCTTCTGCTTCAGTGTCTGTTGTACATGTTCCAAATGCTGTGAATACAGGTCTGAAGTGATAGGGATGGCCCAATGGTAGCAAGCTAATAGTATACCACTTGTCGACTAGAAAACCAAATACAGAACATCATTTTGTGTAGGTGTAGAGGTAGTCTTGTGGTGTGAGACACAATTTCCAGTGGGAATGTCATCCAAGTTCCATTTTCGTGACTGGAAAGCACTCAATCATTAATATGGATACGTTGAGGTGCCGAGAAAGCAAAGAGAAACAAGCTTTCATTCGTAGTTGATTTTTTGGCTTCCGACGGTGTGAGGCAGCCACTTGCTCAACTTGTACTTCCCTATGCGGTGCAGTTGAAACCATCAGAAACCTGGAAGCATTCGGCAAGCTTACCACAGGTTTGGCTGTTGTCCTCCTATGTGGCCGCCTTCAAGACCTCATCATCCAGAACATGTGGCCAGCCACTGCAAGATTCATCACAAACCTGAACCTACCGACCTGAACTCCTGGTGGTGCGTTCACTGAGAGCATTATCCACAAAGGCTTGATGTATTCAGTGATTTGATGCGGCTGCAGCAAAGTTCACTAAGTCATAAAGCAGACAACCTCGAACGAGTTGCTTCGACACCGCCATGTTTCCTCGTCGCTGCACGAGCTATGACTGATGTCTCTGTGCAATGAACCTGAATTGGTCAAGAGCAATGCCAACCGTTCTCCACCGCTTTATCGGCACGTCTTTGCGTATCAGTGATCACTTCTTCCCACGACATAAAAAACAAGGACTTTTTTGCTTAACTTATATTTTTACTGACGTTCAATTTCACGTTATTAAACTTGATACCAGTTCGGGTGGGTAATATCCACCGACACCAGTTTTTTTTTCGTCCGTTCTTACGATTTGTTTAATGATAGATATTGCTGTTATGCATTTTACTAGTATATTTTCAACTTAATTTCAATCATTTATCACCGCAACTATTTAAACCAATGGTCTATGACTATTAATAAATAACATAATGAGTAACACATAGTGTAATAGACCTGAGGCGAAATTCGAGCTTGCCCCTTTAAACATTTTACAAATTTTAAACATTTAATATTTACATTATTATAATTTTTCAGTATTAGAACTCGATGCAGGCCTTTGAAAACAACAGATTAAATAATTTGAAATAGTCTTTTTACAATGATGAAAATTACCAACTATTTTATAATGGACTTATGTAATGTTAAACTTGATCAATAACATTTATTGAATATTTATTGAATGTATCGTTCACACACACACACACACACACATATATATATATATATATATATATATATATATATATATATTATAATAGATTATGAGAAAAATATTTTACATCGCTACACAAGAGCTTTCATGTTTCAATACTATGATTACACTTCCTCAGGCGATGGTAGATAACTTTTGATAAAAATGAGTTATACGGGAAAGCTTCTGTGTAGTGATGTAAAATGTTTTTATTATAATCTATTATAATCTATATATTATAATAATATTTTGCCCTACTTCGTATTAAGCACTTTTAAAACAGTAAATACTGCGAACTGTGGATTTTTACTCCATCTGTTTTTTCTATGCATGTGTATGTATCACTTTAAACGTTATTTTCAGGGGATACATGTATTTGCGCAGGCTCTCCGTTTATTTATTAAACAGTATATTTATTTCCTACCGACATAAAAAACAAGGACTTTTTTGCTTAACTTATAAGGCACACTGGGCTAAACAGTGGCTCCTCTTCCCTGCAGGACCCAGGTTCAATTCATGCGGAAGGGTACAAATTTTCCCTTAATAAAATTTCTCGAATATTCAGGCCGGTAGGTGAAAATAAATAAATCTACTGTTTGATAAATAAACGGAACGTCTACTCAAATACGAGTAGCCACTAAAAATCACTTTTAAAGTTATAATTATTGTGTATTATTTGTGTGTAACTGTGCATGGGTTGTGTGTCCGTGTGTACAAAATAAAATATAGTTAAATATCAATTATAAATGTTGATTTTTAACGCTACATAATTGCTAAATGATTATTTATTGGATTCGCAAATCTGGATGTATTTCTTGAGTTCTCAACCAAAATTGACTTCATTCGGACTTGCGTATGAAATTTTATACTTTAATAAAATGGACCCTTTATGTAATCATTAAAAACTCCATTTTTTCTATTTATTCACTTTTCTATATCTAAACAAATGTATGGAGGGCGATCTTAATAAACAATGAATAACGTTCTTCGTTGTTAAATATGAGTTAGCATTATATTTTTTATGAAAATACTAAAAAGAAAATTATTCTTTCCATGTCACAATATAAAAATTACTTCGCATTTGATATGATTGTCACGTGTATCTAAAATATCCATTATCAAAATGGCCACCCTCATGTTTCAAATTAATTGACTTCGTGTAACAACTTGACAGTTCCTAATCACACGATTTACTTTAGCGGTCCTACAATCCCTAATTTAATGCTGTCAGTTCGTCTCTCTCTCTTTCTCTCTCTCTCTCTCTCTCTCTCCCTCCCCCTTTGGTTCGAGAAAGTCGAGAAACCTTTCTACACTCGAAGCGTTTGATATGACTGAATGAATTCTGGCAATACACGTCTATAATGAAAAAAGTTTTTGGTGCGTGTGGAATTCACAAACTCATAACCGTTTTTACTTTGAAAGCTTTATATTAAGGATTGCAATTCCCCCTAAAAAAAGATACAAAACCTTTACATTCGTAAAAGAACAAACTTTTAAGAAGTTTTTTCTGCTTAATTAAGACAGAAATAAATCAGGTTCAATAAGTCATTTGCATAGAAGATGAACAACGCCGAGCATTTCGACGTGGCGTAATGGTTAGCTTGTCTCACAAGTTCAATTTACAACTGAGTAGTAAGTTAGATATTCACTCGGTGCGCTGTACTTTCGGCCTTGTGCTATACCTAAGGTATGCTTAGTAAATCAAATGAACCACGTACTTTAGTTCTGGTAGGGAAACATTTCTCTGATGTCATTCTTAAATAAACCAATTTCTTATTGTCTCGATGATTCAATATCAGTAAATGGATGATTCATGTTGGACTTTGGTACCGTTTTAAATCTTGCGCTGACAAGTGACCTTAAATTTTGATAACATGGTTATCAAAAATGTAGCAGCTCGTTAAAAAAAAGCAAATATGAAATAAGCGTTTTTAAGTTTTGAGAAACAAAAGATTTATCATAAAACATGAATTTGTGCGTGGGTATAAAATAGTGACGGTAGGGTCTTGTATGTTTATACAAGATTTCGGATAATTATTTCTTATTCATTTATTTTAAAATTTTCATACGTGGACTGTTGAGGATTTCTTCTGACAAATTTTTGATAATAATACTTTTTAACGGAAGAAGCCATATCCTGAAAATCTATAAGTTTGTTAGAATTCTAAGAGTTGTAGAGGGTGCAAAGAAGTCCCTCAAATAAATAATAAAAAGAAAATACACTACAAATAAAGTAAAATAAACTTTTGTTTATTTTTGTAAAGAATTATTTTTTTCCTTGTACAAAAATGAAATTGTCCGTAAAGCTGCGGAAGAAAAAGAGAAAAAAAGGAACGGGGAATGTGAGAGGGAAAGGTAGGACTATGTGTAGCGAGCGAGATGAGAGAAAGAGAGGGTGAAAGAATGTTCACTGATACGTTATACTGCCTGTTGTGTGAACCGCTGAATCCTCTCGGTGTGTGTGTGCTCGAAACTGTCCGTGTCGCTTTGATGTCAGCTTGTCGCTGTTCTCTCTCCCTTCTGATGAGAGTTTCTACCTTCCTTATATAAGAATGATGAGGCTCCGGGGAGATTAAGAAATGGGTTTCTTATGTCGAGTCCTGATTGGTCAATAAATCCTATTTTTGACCACGTGGTGTGCTTTTCACTACGTCCGAACTTTTGGGTGCGCCGTCCTTGTTTTTGACCCCACAGGGCACGGTAAGGAATGAATTCCCGCGCAATTGTATTTTTTTGATACACGTGGTGTGAATTAATTTTTATTGTGTGTATGTGTGTGTGGAAAATAAAATAAGAAACAGCACAATACTCCCCCCCCAGATTGGAAAATATATGAAAGATACAAATGTTTTTCAATACATATGTTTTTCAATACATATGTTTTTCAATACAAATGTTTTTCAATATGTGAGTTTCAGAAAGCTTTTGTAATCATCAATGACTTTATGTCAAAAGCATATCTTTTTTTTATATTGGAAATATCAAAAATATAAGAGTGAAGTTCACACTGTTATTTTCTTTGAACAATTTATAATCCTACTCTTATGTGCCTAATATACGGTGTCGGCCGGGACTGGGACATTTATTTATTTTAGGAAATTTCCCGACACCACCGAGCTCATTAAAACTAACCCGTTTATAAATTTCTCCCTTTACGGCACTTTAAATGATTTTGCGACACCTGCTTTTATTAAAAACACCTGTTTATTGCACATTTAAATAGATTTTGACATGTCATCATTAAGATCCTCTTTGTATTAAGCACGCACCAAAGCGGTGGTAAAAAGACTGAAGCCGGGATGTCAGGTCAGGACCAATAACATTGCAGTTATGCCATAAACACCTGCAGTATGTTCGTCAGTTACAATCTTTCTTTCTACCCAGTTTATTAATTATATAATAAATATTTGCTAAATGTAGATAATTGTTTCTGTTATCATTCAACCTCATCAACAGCTTTACAAATATTCTCTCCCCATATTAATAGTCGTATATATAGCTTATATATATATTGTTGCGGGGCCGATAAGGATGTCGCTCCCACAAGCTTTTAGAAGAAAGGTGTGAACAGCCAAGACAATGAGGGGACAAAGGCAGAGGTCTAAAAATAATAAACGTCGATTTTTATTTATCCAAAATGTACAAGAGTGTAATGTCTGGAGAAATATATTTGTATCGGTACCGGGTCCGGTATGACTTGTTTCCTTCAGGGGAAGTTGTTTTGGTTGTATCGGCGAAACGAGTGTAGAGTTGATCGGCGGCGGTTCTGTTATTTATTTTACTATCAAAATCTATTAAAATTTGAATTGATTTATCGTCAATATTTGTGTGGAATGATCGGCCAATAAGAGTGACAGATGCTACATCTTTAAATCCAGAAATTTTCAAAAACTACAATTACAATATGCCAATTCCGACACTTTGATCAATTGTCATTATACTGACTTCATAGATGTTTATAAACAACTAATATAGTTTTAGTGAAAAGATTACAGATTTTGACAATTTTATTGAAAAACATTGCATAAAAATTTCTTTATAGTAAAAAAACTTTTTTTGTACACCGCCTAAAAGAAGAAAAGCATTGTTGATTGTGGCATAAAAAATTTACTGTGTATACATGTCTATAAATTAAATGTTCTAGATTTAATTTACAGGCAAAAAGTGCAGTTGACCAAAAAATGATTAATAGTGTTGTTATGCATAAAAGAGTCAAGAGCAAATGGTAGTTTCAGATATGAAAAATATGAATTAGTTTCTTTTAGAAAACGATGGAGATATGAAATATGCACCAATCAGTAATGAAAAATTAAACAATATCTTCGACAATTTCAATACCTAAAGATTTGATTTGATTTGATTTCCACATTTAAATTAATAAACCTAATTTATATTGTTCATAGATTTTTTTGTTCAAATTTTGCTTTCTACATGTGTCTTTTTTTCAATTTATTGCTAAAAATAGTTCCACATTACTAAAGTTAGAAAAACTTGATAAAATAAATCCCCAAATATTGAACCAAAGATGATTTTAATTTATCCAAACATCAGTGTGTGTGTGTGTGTGTGTGTGTGTGTGTGTGTGTGTGTGTGTGTGTGTGTGTGTGTGTGTGTGTGTGTGTGTGTGCGCGCGCGCACGCGCTTATGTGTGTTTTCAACATATCATCTCATTATTTATGAGTTATAAATTTAATCTATTAATACCTACAGTCCCATTTTGGGATGTTGGGAATTAATTATCAATTTAGAATTTGTAATGAACTTATAATTAATACCTAATTATTTTTAAAAATTCATAATTAATACTGGATTTAATATATATATATATTTAATATCAGATTTAACGGTGAGAATTAAAGGGTTAAGATTGAAAATTTCCTGAATTTTTACCAACACTAGCTTGGTTACTATCGCTAAGGATTTGTTCGGCTATAAATTTCGGGTTTCTTTATCTAACGTGTTTTTCTGATATTGGGTTTTGATCAAATAAGCATGTGGAGTAAAACTTGTTGCCTAGAGACCTTTTATCAATTCATCATTTATTCAATGTGCTAACCTAAGTCAAATGAGTTCACTGTCTCCTATTTATCCTCGACATTGTTGGAATTATATTATTTCTCTTCATCTTGACCAAACCGACGTTCATTTCTTCTCAAAAGTGAATACTACTTGCTGTTCAATTTTTTTTAAATCATTTCACTTCAAGAAAGGCAATAAAACCACTAAGACACAAGGAGTTACTGAGCCTGAAAGAATAAAAAAATAAAAACATCATTAAGGAGCAAGAACAATAAAAGAAGAGGAATCAAGATGACAGTACATAACGATTGACATTGCATTTAAATTTAGGAAGATCAAAGTTGGCTAGAAAGCAATGCGTTTAAATTCATAAAGTATATTTATTATCAGAACAGTTAACATGGAATTATTTATAGAAAAGGGACAAGGAAACTATGTTACGGCGATGAGAAAGTGACTGAAGCCTGGATGCCAGGTCAGGAGCAATAACATTGCAGATTCTTCTCTGGATTTTATCAAGAATCTAAATATATAGCAGGAGCACGAGACCATATGTGGCAGCAATATTCTAAGCATAGTCGAATGGTAGATTTATAAATATGTAAGATAGATTCTGGCGAGAAAAATGATCTAGCACGGCACAGTGAACTAACCATCCTAGCAGCAGAGCTAGAAATCGATTCAATATAGTCATTCCATTTCATATCAACAGAGAACATTAGCTTGTGAAGGTGCAACGAGTCATTCTCCTGGGGGCTAGAATCAACCATAATGATGGAAGGTAGAAAGGGATCTTTCAGATGATTAATAAATAGCAGTTTAGTTTTGAAGGAGTTAAAATTAACAAGTCATTCTTTGCCCCAGCAGATTTTAGGTCACTTTTGAGATCAGCTGACAATTTGATCTTATAGAATGTCAACCATTCGATCTAGTGATTAATATTTTATTTAATATGAAATGATTTTCAATAGGAAACTAAAGAATCAAGGTTTTACGTAAAAGGGTTTAAGTGAACTGTCATCATGTCACCCGGATATTATCACTCATTAAATACTGTTGAAATATTAAACCGTAAAATAGATTCCTCGTTAAATGCATAAGAATTTAGTCACCCTTAGGAGAAATTCAGCTTTTCTTTTTTCGAACATTCCTACGAATTCGAAAGAAGAAACATTCTGTATAAATCACTTCACACCTTGCCGGTGAATTTATTATTATAAATTTCAGACCCTTAGACGAATACTAATAATTGTTAATTTATTAAAAACAAGTTCATATACAGATCATATTATGTTTAAGTT